GCTTGTGAAACCATCTAGCTAAATGCAAACAAAACTGCAGTGGGCAATGCATGTACTCATCACCAGTGGGTTAAACAGGCTGAAAATTAATAAGCAAACATAACATCAATAATCAAAGCTTTTACTTCCATTTCAGAGCTGAAAGTATGTTGCTAAATATTTCATTTCTATTCTAATCCCATTTCAATCTCATATCACCCTTACTGACTGGGATATAATCTAAAATGAGTTTTCTGTTCACAGCATATAATATATTTTTTTTTTTACAGATCATGGTGGCTTAACACAATGCAATGGTGTGTTGATTAGTAGTTAGTCTTACTAAAGTCAAGAATAGCAAAACCAGGTTAAAACTCTTTAATAGTATTGCATGTTTGAATACAAACAAAAATTATCATTTTTACACACATCCACACATCAATGTACTTCTTCATTAAATCCTCACTAAGGACAAACCTCCTTAAAATAAAAAAATAAAAAACACTATCCACCAACCAACTATTTACCCCCTTACCCATCTCCTTTCTTTTCATTCAACCACTAGTTAAGCCCTTGCATAATTTCTTTAATATAACGGAAAACAGCCTTCTCACTGTTCAATATTGATATTAACTCTGTGGTAGGCATTGGCAAGGACACCCCTCAGGTTCCAGATGTTTTCAAAATTCTCTGGCTGGGTGTTGTATTGAGAATCCACTGCTTTGACACAGAGCTGGACCTCCCCTGATTTCTTGCTCACAGGGACCTCAGCCGACCAGAGTGACCATCCCCAAGCACGTGGGTGACCTGATTCATCTGACTCTAACTGGTCCGCTGCTTGCCATGTCTTGCCTCCATCAGCAGAAACATCCACACGGATGATTTTCCTCCCACCTCCACTCCATGCATAGCCTGCAAAGGGTTGAACTTTTGTTATTTTTCTTATTTCATATGGCAGCTTTAGAAGTAATAGGAATAAGTGATTATAAATGTAGAAATAGTGGTAGTAAAAGTAACAAAAAAATTATCAATAATTGCAGTAGCTGAAACAAAAGCAGTTTTTCTGTAATAACAACTAGAGCAAAAATAGATGTAGCAGTAGTGCACTGATGCCAGGAACTTGAACTGTCTGCTAGGAAGGCAATTACTAAATGATCTCAACTGTTTACCCCAAACCTAGAATTTTATGGGACGAAGAATCATCTCTACTCTTATTATCATTATTGCATAATAACAAATATTACAACAGTAATAGCAATAGTAATATCCTTTATCCTTTCTCTAACAAGGGACATGAGTAATGGGTATGCATGCCAGACATCAAAATGGCAATCAAATGGCAGTGATATCTATCTCAGCTAAATCACATCAAGAAAAAAATTAGCTTGAGGGCTGGGTGACATGAACGTACCATCCTGGGAAAATCTGGCTGTGGACTGGGTGATACAAATTTGCTGTCATGAGAGTTTTGGCTGAAGGCTGAGGTGATGGGAAAGACCTGCCATGAAGGCATAAATCACATAAAACTGAATATTATGAAAAAAAAAGGACACAAATAACAAAATGTAAAATATTTTAATTTTTCTTGCAGAATTATAGAGAGATGATATAGGGCCTGTGCAAAGAAAACAGTCTATCACCATCTGGATAATACAATTCAAATAACAAATATGGACATTGGAAAAAGGCAAAAATGCTAAAACATTCATATATAAAAATAGAAAATTACATTGTAAAAAGAAGGCATCGAGTCTGCACTGCACACAAGTGTTTATGTGCACCCAGCCTACAAGCCATGCACCTGGCAGAGCGGCCATTCATGTAAGCCTAATGTACGGGTTTTGGGCCACATGATTCCACATGAAAGCAACTGGATCCAAGGGGTTAATCTAACCAACTGTACTTTACAATTTAAATCCCTTTCTATATTAATTTGCTAGATCTAAATAAGGACTTAACCCATTGTTGCCGGGGATGGCATGTACGTAGATGCCATGCCCACTGTGAGTCGACTTGTTCGATTGTTTTTACACATAGATGGCTACACTTGTACTAAGTATCCAATGAGCCAATTACGAGAACTGCCTGTCTTGCCCGTTCACCCTTTTCATCGATTTACGAAAATATTTAACGTTATTCTAATTTGCTGATAAAAATAACACCATCTATATTTATAGCACTAGTAAGAATATGTTTTTTCCCGCCAATTCAAGGAAAGGTGAAATCAGGACTAGCAAAGCCATCTATGGACAGAGATATTTCACAAAAATATAAAAAATGAGTACTGCATTTACCCCATTTTTTGTTCATTTTCCCCGGCAGCAATGGGTTAATATTTAGCTTTAAATTAATATCAAGCTTGTTAAACACAATAATGTGAAGATAATTTTTTTTTTATTAGTAGAGCATGAAACAATAATAATCTACCTTCTTACAGCCATGCCAGAACACTGGTGAAAAAACACAACCACCTTTTATAAAAGAATTAGACACTCACCTCTCAGCTTGACCTTGCTGTCTTTGACCTTCACTGTCTCTCCTTCTAGTGGCTCACAAATAGCAGAGATGACAGGCAGTTCCTGAATAGCAGGGGATTTCTTGAAATCAACAGTGTCCCAGTCAACGTTTGGGGCAAAACCTTTGTAGTCATTCTGCTGCCAGTGGGCATCTGATTCTTTCTTGGATATAATGATCCTACCTGTAGTACAAACACAACAGTAATACCAGTTTTTTAAATATATGTTCATCCATTACATTGGCATATATATCTATAATAGTCAATAATCCTTTATGAAATACTTTTCAATACTGCAGTAATTCCAGAATCAAAGCCATAACGACACAACACGAGAACATACCTAGCCACTTGACATTTCTAGCACCCACAACCCCAGGTACTATAACCCTGATAGGGTAGCCATGATCCCTTGGTATGGGTTCACCATTCATCTCATATGCCAGAATAACATCTCCATAGGGGTCTAGTGCTTTCTCAATGGGTATACTTGAACCATATGGCATGTGTGCAGGATCTGTATCCAGCCCCTCAAACTAAAATGGAAATACAGGAGAATCTTTTTTTTATGACAATTAACAATGTACCATCCAATTCTTTGCATATATTTATGATAAATGTATTGTTAAACATTAAAAAATAATAAATACATGAAAAAGAAACAGTCATATTTACATATAACCTTCAACTGTAAGTGGATATCTAAACAACTGCTGAATGCACAGATACAATCATACAGATACGTAAGAGTAATCATAGATTACTAATCCCAATATCAGTACAATCTCTCACAATAGCCATCCACCCATCATGATAAATTCTAACAAAAATTCCTACCAACCTGTACATGTAGAGCATCAGTGGTATCTCGCTCTATACCCATATCCTTGAGCACATCACAGAGCCGTGCTCCACTCCACTTGGCATTCCCGATAGCTGCTTGGCCCCAGCTCAATCCCTTGACAGCTTTCACCTGCAGAGGATAAAAAGTAATTCAACAAGTGCTCGTTTTTATGATCAATTTAACAACCCACCAGAAAATTTTATGGGGCCATCCCCTGCTCCAATCCCCTGTTTTTGGTATTACATGTATGAGTAAACCTTTTTGAAAATTAAGTATGTAAAATCATGCAGGTTTACCAGATAAATATTAGTATGTCCTTACTTATCACTGGCACCTTAAGCTGTATATCCCAATTGATAATTATGAGTGTAGAGAACAGATTCTATTATTCCTATTAATTTTTTTTTCACATTTCTACAAAAGTCTCTGGATAATTTGTGCCATGTGTAATTTGAAAAGTGCGCTGTGAATAAAACAAAAAAAATAACTGCCACATATTTTCGTATGTACTAAGTTATATATTTTTTTGCAGGAATGAAAAAGAAATGTGATGTGTCCTTCCTCCTCAGGAACTTGGCCTTAGATGCAGGGAGTGCATATGTACATGTACTCTCCACTATGGTTTTCTTATATCCTTACCTTATACATAGCTCACTACAGAGCAAATTACAAGGCCTACTGGTCTCCCCTAACTACCTCATTTCTTTATTTTTTTGGAGAAAAAGTTTCTCAATCCTAATTTAATCAACGATAAAAAAATAGCTACTTTAGTTATAATAATAATGTTAATAATGATAATATAAAATGATATAGATATTAAAAATAGACACAAACAATACCAATAAATCTTGAAAAATAACTAAATAAACACAAATACACAATCAAACAAAACAAACGATCTAACCAGGGCTATGGCAAACACACAATAAACAATTCATATATCCCCCATACCCTTGTCATTTCCGAGCGACGGTTCCCCGCACACTGTATTGTGGCCGTCACAGTGCGCTTGGGGTACTTCTTGATGTCATCCAGTGTAAGAACTTTCTCCTTATCAGTCTCTTCATCAGTGATATCCAACTCATAGGCCGAGGCATTTATGTCAGGGACTGGCAGGTGGTTTCGGACGTAGAAGAGCTCACTGCAATGTTGTGTTGCAAGTTATGAATTGCAGCATATGATGTGTGAGTTTTTATTTTGGAGAGATAGATTATAAGGTAATAATCATGAGTTACTAATAATGATTTATAACTTATGAGCTGTATATTAAGACATATCAATTGAGAGATATGAATTATGATCTATGAACTCCATGCATGTTCCTCTATTTACACACACACACACACACACACACACACACACACACACACACACACACACACACACACACACACACACACACACACATATGATACCATCAAATAGGGTATTTGGAGACACAGATGGAGTGAAATGGTACCAAAACTCTCTGGGATGAAGAATCTCCCCTACACCCACACATAGAGACAAAGTGTGATAATCAGGGCACCATTTTAACAAGCATGACTGCATGACAAGTGTATGACAGGTTTGAAACATTTCTTTGCGTTTGCAATGGATGCCCCCATTCCAACCCTCCTAGCGACGTCAAAACCACATAGGCTTACTTCCAAAATCAACTCT